AGCGACGATGGACTACAGTTGCAGGATGTAGCATACAGTGTCAGGCCTGGTCAACGAATAGGTCATTTTGTTTCATTTAACTGTTCCAAGGGAGAGTAATATTGGGTGGTTGAATTGAAAGTCACTGAAACAAATGCACCCATAAAACCAGTAAAAATGTAAATCACAGATTCAGCTCCTGAAAGATAAGTCTGTACCACGTGTCCTGTTATACAATTCTCAGGCTAATAAAACCACATGCTTAATTAATTTCAAATAATTAGCAGAAGTAGAAAAGTAAAAAAAAAAAACCCAAAAACTCATTGTGGCCTAGTATAAGATGATGGCAGCGGTTCTAGTGATAATCCCTGCCTCCATACTTTATCTAATCAGAAACACTGGAGCATTTTCTTGCATAGAAGCTTAATTTATAAAGGCTTCCTTAAGCCACTGCCAAATATCTTATCTTGTAGTTTTTTCTTTCCCATGACCCCAATCTTTTTTTCTTTTTTGCTCTTGTGTGGTGTGTGTTTTTAAACACGTTTAAGAGAAACCTAAAATAGGAGACTTGGTGAGGGTAAAAGATGGGGGATATTGGTTTGAGGTGGATGTCAACCAGGTAACAATCCAGAATGTTTAGACAACTGGGCCAATGGTTGCTGAAAATTAATTTTTTGACTTGCTGGAGACACAAGTGACTTCTTAGGCAGAAAGAGTATTTAAACAGCTCTGAGGATATTATATTTAGTCCTGGAAGAGAGACTTTCACGCTCACCTAATCCACCCCCACTCCCCATGTTACAGATAAGAAAACTGAAGTTGATCTAGGGTTACACAGGTAATAAGTAGCAAAGCCATATCTACCACTCATAAGATTTATCTACACTCCTACAATTTTTGTAAACCTGCTTGTCAGGTAACCAGCTAATAGAATAATAAATCAATATTCTATGCTGTTGAAAATGACATAAATTAATAAGCTAGATTAAGTTTATATATGCATATACAGAATTTAGACCCGTGATTTCATTGTTATATGGAGTTCCTACTGAGGAACTTTTACAAATGGTCAGGCACATTCTCTGCAATTGATGGATTTGTAGAACTTCCTAGAGCACCGAGAAATAAGATGACTGACTTTCCCAAAGTCCCAGTGAGTGTCAGAGTTAGGACTAGAACCCAAATTTTCCTGGCCTAGGTCAGCTGGCTACAACATTCTGTCACTGCATCTGACTCTCTTCCTGTATGGGGGTTGGGGAAGGGGTGTGTAAATATCTTTCTCAATTAAGAGTGAGCTTCAAAAGACAGTCCAGAATCCTCCAGCTCTTGCCAGAGGCCCCCAGGGCAATCACTACATGATGCTTATTGCACAGTTATCATTCTGTGTGAGGCAAAGACATATTCTCTTCACCCAAAGTGAGGAAAATAACACCAGAAGTCTGAAAACAGCTTTTTGCCAGCCCCTTTTGGAAGGCACTTTTAATTCAATGTTGCACAACTCAGACAGAGGGGATGGCTAAACGGGGAAAGCACATGAGTAACAGATACCAGAACATTGACAGAGAGGAATTTCTTGAAGCTATGCGCATGCCCCATGGATAGCTGGGAAGTAAAGAGCTGATTCCATATGTGGCAGTGTAGGTCAGCTGGGATCCAGGAATGTTCAGAGTTCCCCCCCTCCTTCTATCTGAGAAGGGTAGGCATGAATGACTCACACATGCACAGTATCCACCCTCCCCTCCCCAGACCCCGTGTCTTTGTCTCGTACCAAAATGTCATTCAGATTTTTAGCCTGTGTGACTCCCAGTTCAACAGAACTCTCTGTTTTAGCATTGTATATACAAAGCCCAAAGGATCGCAGGTCATTATTACTAATTGGTAATTGATACAGGTCTTTTAGGCCCAGGCCTTTGACTCAATAGTCATCCCAGAGACATTGACCAAATCTCAAAGAAAGTTTGGTTTGTTCTTCATGAACACTCTCTCCCTTCCCTACCACCAACCAAGGGTAACTAAGCTGGTCAGTGTCTGAAGCAACATTTTAACTTGGACCTTACCAAGTCTACCACTCTATCCTCTAACATCACCTAGATCCCTCTTACAACTGGAAAGGACTTAAAAATACTTAGTTCAATTCCCTAATTTGACAAATAATGAGGCTGAGACCCAAGGAGGCCAAGGGATTTTGTTCAAGGTCACACAGCAAGTATCACTAGAATATACTACAGTACAGTGACAGTGCTGTCACTAAAACCCAGGTCTCAACTTCTCATCCTTTGACACAATTTCTCCTTTTGAGCAATAATATCTAATGTAAATTTACCAGGAATATAGATTTAGAGCTGGAAGAGATCTTAGAGATTTCAACCCCCTCATTTTACAGATGAGGAAACTGAGGTACAGATTGGTAAGGGGTTTTGCCCAGGGTTCCACAGCTAGTATGTGTCAGAGATGGGATTTGAATTCAGGCCTTTCCTATCTCCAAGACCAGCATGATGTTCACTATAGCATGCTGCCTCTCACTTCCATGTCAGAGGCATTCTTGTTCCTAATAGCTAAGACCTAAGGATTACAATACTATGCTGAGAGGATCACCTGGATATAGGACCCTCACCCTATCATCTTCATATATCCTGGGAAGGAAAAGAGTAGTTCTAGGGTGTGGTTAGAGTTCTGTCCTTTCCCCCTACTCCCAACTTAAGAGTTCATTCCAGCTATGAACATCTAGGCACAGAGACACATGCTTCAGCTGTGGTATGCTCTTCTGGCAAAAGATTTTAAAAAATCAAGTGCATGTGAATAAGGCAGGCTAGACAATGTTATGAGTGCTGAGGGGATGAATCATTGATGCACCGTGGGCTACCATTTGCTGATGGAGAAAGGACTTCAGGAAAACTTAAGATTCCAATTTCTATTTCTCTCTCTCTCTGTCTCTCTGTCTCTCTCTCTCTCTCTCTCTCTCTCTCTCTCTCTCTCTCTCTCTCTCTCTCTCTCTCTCTCTCTCTCTCTCTCTCTCTCTCTCTCTCCCCCTCTCTCTCTCAAAAATGAGAGCTGACATGTAACATGTCAGCTTTTACCAAAATATTCTAATAGAATGTAAGATCCTTGAGGGAAAAACCTACCTCATTTTATTTTTTGTCTTCATATTCTTGGTGCATCAAATAATGCCTGGCACATAATTGGTACTTCAAAGTTGCTATTCTACTCAGTCCTACCAACCAAGACATGTTGGAATTTGAATTGGGTGAATTGAATTGAATCCTCAAATTCAACTGAATTGAATTGAAGCCAAATCTCTCAGTTCTCCCTACCAAGAAAGCAAACACCATACCAACATCCTGTAGAAACCAGATGGTGCTTGTTTGTTACCACTGTAAATCACAGAACCTAATAATATCTAACATCTGTTTAATGCTTTAAGGTTTACAAAATGTTTTACTTATTATCAGATCCTCACACCAACCCTCTGAGGTAGGCACTCTGATTATCCCCATTTTACAGATAAGGATCCTGAGGCTAGGAGACAGTAAGACATTTGTCTAGGGAAGCAATATTTTAACTCAGACCTTAGCTAGCTTCCTCTTAGAATTGGGAAGGGCATGAAATCATCTAGTTCAACCCCCTCAATTGACAGATGATGAATGGGAGGTCAAAGGACTTTGCTCAAGATCACACAGCAAATGTCACTAGAATATGCTACAACATAGTAGCCTTGTGGCCACTAAAACACAGGTCTCAAATCCTCATCCTAGGATCTTTCTAATGTATTCCACCGGATTCCTTGAATCTGGATGATGGCTCTCCTGCCCCAGTACACCTTACACAGCCCCAGCCTAGCTCCTGGAGAAATCATTTCCAAGAATGAAGCAAGAAACTTGGTGGGTTTGGGCCTGAGTGTGTCTCAAATCCCAACATGTCATGGTTGTTAGAATCAAATAGAACAGCACTCTTAATGCTGCAGGAAAAATTCAGGACTTTCTGTCATCACAGGCTTCTGGAATGGTGGCTAAGAAGTAACTCCAGAAAAAATGGTGGCCCACAAACAGTAATACCTCTTAAAATATCTTAGGGTTCCAAGACTTGAAAAGTACAATAGAGGTTTCTCTAGTCCACCTTTCCACTCAGTGCAGGAATGGTTAGTAGTAGTTCCTGTGGGGAAACCCCTTTTAGGTGTTTGTAGAGTTGAATTTTAACACTTTCAGCCATGGGGAGCTTACTATCTCACAGGGAACCCCACTTTATGTTTTAGAAAACATCTTTGACTATTACAAAAAATTCTTCCTTATATTAAGACATTTAATCCGCAGTTTAGGTGATAAAACTTGAAAACTGGAAATTCAATTCAGCATGCATTTCTTGGGCATCTACTATGTGAGGTATATTCTCTGGAGAATACTTCTGGAGTTTCAAAGTCAAAAAGTGCTAAAGTCGATCTCCTCAAGAAACTTACATTCTCCTGGAAGGGACATATGTGATCACTTGGTCCAACCCTTTCATGAAACACGTGAAGAAACAAACCAAGGGAAGTAAACGTGACTTGTCAAAAGCCACATGGTAAATTAATGGCAGGCCCAAGATTAGAACCCAGGTCTCTATACACAGACCCTCTATACTACATTTTTTCTAGTGGCACAGTGGACAGGCCTGGAGTCAGCAAGACCTGATACCTACTAGCTTGTGTGACTGACCCCAGGCAAGTCACTTAACTTCTGTTTGTTTTAGTTTCCTCAATTGTAAAACGGAAATGGAGTTCTTGTAAGGATCAAATGAAATAATATTTGTAAAGGGCTTAGCAGGGTGCCTGGCACATAGTAGGTGCTTAATAAATATAGATCCCCTTCCCCTTTCCTTGTTCTCCCCTTCTGGAGTTACACAGAAAAATTCTCATATCCCTCTTCTCCAAGAACTCTTCTCTTCCCTCCCCTCTTTTCCTTCCCTTCCCTTCTCTTAAAGATAGCTTCCATCTCTCTCCTAAATCTTCTCTTTGGGGACTAAATTTTCCAAGTTCCTGCAAGTGCTGCTTGTATTGGCGCTTCACCACCCTGCTCACTCTCCTCCAGATAGACTACAATTTGTCAATACTTTTCTTAAGATGTTGACCAGCACTCAACACAGTTCTCCAGGCTCAGTCTGACTGGTGCAAAATACTTCAAGAAAAACAGACCAGCTCAGAATACAATGTGGGTGTTTCATCTCTTATTTCTACTCTCTAAGTAGAATTAGAAATACAAAAACAAAAGCAAACCATAAAAACTCCCTTTAAGTTACAGGTGTTTTCTCTAGGCTCTGGGTATTCTGGAAGGGAAAGAGACAAGGATACATATTTGTGGCCTCTTGGGTGAGTCACTTAGTTAAAATGGGGGTGCTCAGGCCACACAAAAAAATGACCATACAGGTTAATGGGCATATCGATTTAGAGCTGAAAGGGACCTTAGAGGTCATCCAGTCCAACCCCCTAATTTGTAAAATGAGGAAACTTCATGAAGCACAAAGTTGAAACGACCTGCCCAAGATCACGCAGGCCAAAAGTGGTAGAGCTAGGATTCAAACCTAGGCCCTGACACCAAATCTCCTGCCCCTTCCATTATGAGTCTTCTTAGTTTCATCATTCTACTCCTGTACCTCTTGCTTATCAGCTTTAGAGGCTCATTGGTATGGTCCCTCATAATACCTCCATGAGATGAGATCAATGTGATTAGACCTGATGTGTGGGTACAGTTCACAGAGAAACAGAGTGGGGCCACAGAGAATGAACAGAACACTAGAAGTGTCAATTCCCAGTCTTCTGGCTCTCACCCCATCACTTTCCTGAAAGAGGAATTGTTTTTGCTCACCCTAAAAATAGCAAGGACAAATAGAGCCATCTATGGGTTCAACCTCTGGAGCAAGCCAACTTTTCCATAGCAGTTATAATTGGAAGTAGATGAAATGGTACTAGGATAGGGAGGTTGGCCTTAGTTAAGTAGATTTTGAGAGGACCTTGTGATACACCTGGGCACCCTAAATCAGCTCAGAATTTTTTTTCCAACCAATATAGCTCAGCCACCACAGCCACCTTAGCTTCCATGTAAGCTGAAGAACCAGGATCTGCTTCCAGGAAATGGTGGAGAGAGAGAGAACAACGGGCATAGTCTGTTGCCCCCATTAGCTAAGCACACCAGACAGCCCTGCAGAGTTATCCCAGAGAAACAAAACCCAATGTAGCTCTGCTCCCTGGTTTCTCCTTCATCCAACCTGAGAAGAGAGGAATGGAAATGGGGCCATGTTGCCACATGCAAACATACACTGAGGTGACAGGGAATAAAGTCCAACAATTTCTACCAAAGTTCCCAGGTGACAGTTCCAGGAGCCATAGACTATTTATGATGGTAGAGCCAGGACTTGTGGCCTGCTTTATCCTTCTCCCCTCTCCAACCCCAGACTTAGCCACATTCCTGCCTTTCTTGTCAGGGAGTCTGGCTCATATGAGGTGAGATGGTTTCTCACTGAGGTAATGAGGCCCAAATGCTCTGCTAGGGAGAGCTAAATGAAAAAAAAAAAAGGATCCCTGAAGTAAGTGCTCCCCCTGCCAAAAAAAAAAAAAAGCTGGTTGAGGTATTTCCCTCAGAAATGTTAAATTACACACACATTCACACACACACACACACACACCCTCAAATATACAAGGACATGTCCAGAGGGAGACACACACATCTCTCACATACATGTTCATATTCCCCCCACCCCTCTTCACTGTTGCTGGATCCTACAACATCCATACAATCCTCCGTAAACATGGTGTAGGAAACACCCACAATCCTTGGCTCTGCTGATGGCAAGGGTATCATTATGAGTTCCCACGGTAGGCGATATTGGTGAAGGTGGATGTTGCTTCTTTATACAGTGGGTTGTTGGCCTGCAGAAAGAATAGAAAAGGCTCTCACAATGACCCCCTTGCTGCTTCTCTGTCTTACAAGTCTGACACTATAGATAGCTGGGGACTTTGATGAAGATAACCTTGTCTCCATTTTCCTAGTTATCTAACCCATGGCTCACTTCAATTCCACATCAGTATTCGGGTTGGGAGCATAAAGAGGAAGGGAGAGTTATTTGTAGTGCAACAGCAGTCTGCCACTATTTCTAAGAGGATAAATCCTAGAGTTTCCCCTTGCTCAGCCCAACTCAGCTCAGCCCAGTCCACTCCACTCACTGTGTCCCACTTGGCTCTGGCTCTCTCCTCTTCAAACTTGGCAAATTCCCTTCGGTCATGGATGGTGATTAGAAGCTTCCAGATGAGCAGTGTGGCCAGGCCAATGAGTAATATGGCTCCCATCACCGAGAGCAGGACCACCAGGATATCAGGGCCTTTGGGACAATCTGCAAGGGAAGAAGAGCACCAAGCAGAGAGAGAGAGATTTAAACAGGAGAGACTTAAATTGGAAATAAAGAACTCCTTAGCCATCTGGATAATGAACACCCAAGGGAGGCTATGAAGTTTCTACCTAGGGGCAGAAATCTTCAAGGAGAAATAAAGAAAAAGGAAAAGAAAAGAGGGTCATTGAAGCATTTTAAATGAACAGAAGAGGATAGAAGGAAGGCCAAAAAGAAATCCAGACAATAAGGACAGTTTTAAAAGCTACATGTTGAATTTATTATTTGTATAATATTATACATGTATATATGGATCCTCCATCCAAGCCTGTGGTATTTTTGCATGCTGCTGTGTATATGGAGGGAGATGCAACTTCTGATTGGCTAAGAGAATGCAGAGCTTGAGGCTATATACCTGTCAGAAGAGACTTGCTTCAGCTAGTTCCAGGTATTCTTTGGGAAAGACATGCGGAGAAAGGATCTCTAGGAAAGTTGTCATGAAAGAAGGACTTTGACAGTTCTCCAGGCCACAGACATAGGAGCTGGCTTCCCACATGTCTGCAGCTCAGAGGCAGACCACATCACTAAGGGCCTTTTCCCACATGCCTTGGGTTCACCATCGTATCAGACAGGCAGAAGTAACAGCACCCTCCATATATTCAGAAGCAGAACACAAAACTGCCCAAAACTTGGGAGGAAGCCCCATTACATATACCGAAAATGAAAAGCAAGCTGTATATATAAAGATTGACAGTTTTGTGTGTAATTCTTTTTTTCCTGTTCTACTATACATATAGAAACGATCATTTTATTTGGTGTTTGTTAAGTTCAGAATAAAAACAGAGAGATGGACAGTGAGGGGGGAGAGAGAAGAAGAAGAAGAAGAAGAAGAAGAAGAAGAAGAAGAAGAAGAAGAAGAAGAAGAAGAAGAAGAAGAAGAAGAAGAAGAAGAAGAGAAGAGAAGGAGAAGGAGAAGGAGGAGAGGAGGAGGAGGAGGAGGAGGAGGAGGAGGAGGAGGAGGAGGAGGAGGAGGAGGAGGAGGAGGAGGAGGAGGAGGAGAGGAGGAGGAGAGGAGAAGGAGGAGGAGAAGGAGAAGGAGAAGGAGGAGAAGGAGAAGGAGAAGGAGAAGGAGAAGGAGAAGGAGAAGGAGAAGGAGAAGGAGAGGAGAGAAGGAGAAGGAGAAGGAGGAGAAGGAGAGGAGGAGAAGGAGAAGAAGGAGAAGGAGAAGGAGAAGAAAGAGAAGAAGGAGAAAAAGAAGGAAAAAGGAGGAGGAAGAGGAGGAGGAGGAGGAAGAGGAGGAGGAGGAGAAGGAGAAAGATAGATAGATAGACTATCCTGACAGTATTCACATGACCAAAGACCTTGGAATTTCACCCAGTTCTAAGTGCTAGGACTCCAGAGCTCTGTTCTAGACCCTCTCCTCTCTCTACACTCTCTCATGGTGGACACATCAACTCCTATGGATAAACAAATGACTCACTGATAAATGTCTTCCAATCTCACGTCTCTCCTGTATCTCCTCCAACTGTCTGTTTTATATGTTCATCTAGCTATCATGGACACCAATGTGTCCAAAAAAGAACTCATTATTTCCCCCCTCAAACTCATCATTTCTTTTAACTTCTTTGTTTCTGATCATGACATAACCATTCTTAAAGGCACCAGGTTCACAACCCAGGAGTTATGCTTGACTCCATCCTTTTTCATCTTCCCATCCTCATATCAAACCAACTGCCAAGTCTAACATGTTCTATCTTATTAACATATCTTGCATGTATTCTCTTCTCTCTACTCACACCACAACCACCTAATCCAGGTCCTCAACACAGCTCCCCTGGACAATTACACTACCTTTAATGGTCTCCCTATAACCAGTCTCCAATCTATATTCCACACGACTGACCATGAGATATTCTTAAAATTTATTGTTGTCATTGAGTTGTTTCAATTGTGTCCAACTCTTCATGACCCCATTTTGGGGGCTTTCTTGGTAAGGATAGTGGAGTGGCTTGCCATTTCCTTCTCCAGCTCATTTTTTACAGATGAGAAAACTGAGGTAAACAGGGTTAAGTGACTTGCCCAGAGTCACATAGTTAAGGAAGTATCTGAGGCCAAATTTGAACTCGTGAAAATGAATCTTTCCTGATTCCAAGCCCAGCACTCTACCCACTGTATCAACTACCTGCCATTTAGGTTACACCCATGCTCAAGAAGTTTCAGTGGCTCCCCACTGACCTGAAGATAAAATAGAAACTTCCATATTTGGCATTCAAGGCCCTTTACAATCTGACTCCAGCCTATTTTCCAGACTTATATTATTGGTCAGCTAGGTGGCACAGTGGATAGAGTACGAGGCCTGGAGTCATGAAGACCTGAGTTCAAATCCAACCTCACACACTTATTGGATGTTTAAACCTGGGCAACCTCTTGCTTGGTATGTATAGGTAAGCTTGATAACCTCTATGTACCTCAGCTTCCTCAACTGTAAAAGGGGAATAATAAAAGCATCTACCATCCACATCCAAAGAAAGAACTATGGAAGTTGGATTGCTATTTTTTTTCTCTTCTGTTGAGTTTTGTTTCCTCTTTTTGATGGTTCCTCCTATTGGTTTTAATTTTTACTTATAACATCACTAATGTGCAAATATGTTTAATAGGAATGTAAATGTATAGCCTATATCAGATTGTGTGCCATCTTGGGAAGGGTGGTGGGGAGGAAGGGGGAGAAAAATTTTAAACTCAAAAGCATATGGAGGTGATTATTGATAAATCAAAATAAATTAATAAAAAAAGACAATTCATATAAAAAAGCATCTACCTCCCAGGATTATTGTGAGGAACAAATGATATAGTACTTGTAAAGTTCTAGCACGGTGCCTGGCACATAGCTATTATTATTGGGGAAGCTAGGTGGCACAGTGGATAGAGTGCTGGGCCTAGAGTCAGGAAGACTCTTCTTACTGAATTCAAATCTGGCCTCAGATACTGATTAACTGTGTGACTCTGGTCAAGTCACTTAGCCCTGTTTGCCTCAGTTTCCTCATCTGTAAAATAAGCTGGAGAAGAAAATGGCAAACCACTCTAGTATCTTTGCTAAGAAAACCCCAAATGGGATTGCAAAGAGCCAGACATGACTGAAATAACTAAATAACAACAAGCTATTAATTATTATTCAAGCACTGTACACTCTATCCAAAATTTCCTGGTTTATGTCCCATGTGCATGTATTGTATCTCCCACCTGTGTGCCTTCATCTAGGCCAGTGGCCGTGCCTGAAGTGCCCTCCCTCCTTACCTCAGTCCCTTGGAACTCCTCTCTTCAAGGCCTCAGCTCATGTGCCATCCCCTTCAAGAGGCCTTTCCTAATTTCCCTAGCTATTAGCAACACACTACCTCACCTACTCACTTAACACTGTATCCCCTCAAGAAAATGTAAGCTCTCTAATGGCAAAATCTTCTTCACTCACTCTTTGTCTCTCCAGTGCCTGCATATGTCCTGGTACAGAGAAGGCTTCTAAGTAATGCTTATTAATTGATTGATAAACTGGTACTCTGCTGAGTAAGATGATCATCAGTGATGCTTGGTTTATTTCTAAACATTTAATCATAATCTAAAATCTCTGAACTCACCAGCTTCCTGCCCACTCCCAACCAACCTCTAACCCCAAATAACTGTACTCCACCCTTACGGGTAAGTGTAAAGGAAGCTCTGCTGAGCTCTGAGACATCTTGATAAGCCCTGATCTACTTAATAAGTGATCACACTATACCTAGATACTCACTTGCATACATATATATATATATATATATATATATATGTATATATATATATATATACATATATATGTGTGTGTATGTGTATGTGTGTATATTAAATGAGATAACATATGTAAACTGCTTTATAAATTGTAAAGCTCTATAAAAATGAGAGCTATTATATAGACACACATTCCTATTTATGCACATATGGGTTTGGTGATATCTGGAAAGGGGAACATAGACACTTTTCCTCCTTTTGCTGTTCCCCACCCCCTCCTACCTTCTCTCTCCCCACCCCCCATTCCCCACACACTGTGCAAGAAAAAACAAACCTGGACCGGCTATTTCCTGTCCCGCCAGATTATAGCCTCTGACTATAATTAAAGGAGCTCCTTGGGAAAAACTGTAAGGTTCTAATGTCTGGTTTCTAGGGCCTCAAGCCTCTCTTTTTCTGGGAAAAAGCCATTTTGAGTTCCCTGGTGGAAAGGGGAGGAGCCAGAGGCTCAGACCCCATAGCTAGGCACCCCTAGATGCTACTCTGGTGGTTGAGATTGAGGCAGAATGGGGGTTGACCTTGAAAAGTTGTCCTGAATGGTTTAAACATTCACCTGTGGGGAGCTGGACCACATGATCTCTTGAGATAACTCTACAGCTTCAAGGGTCTAGAGTTTGAGCATGGGGCAGAGTTAAGTGATGTAGAAGGGTTGTTGTTTCAGTCATGTCTGACACTTCATGACCCCATTTGGTGTTTTCTTTGCAAAGACACTGGAGTGGTTTGCCATTTTCTTCTCCAGCTCATTTTACAGATATGAAAACTAAGGCAAACAGGGTTAAGTGACTTGCCCAGGGTCACACAGCTAGTAAGTGTCTGAGGCCAGATTTGAACTCAAGATGAGTCTTCCTAATTCTAGGCCCAGCACTCTAACCACTATGCCACCTAGCTGCCCTATATAGAAGGGAGGATAACCCTTAAGGCAGAAAGGACCTAAAGTCCATGCACAAAACCTGCCCCCATTTTCTATCCTTACTACCGCCCCCAACACTGTTGACGGGACTACTGAAGAAACTGGGCAGTTGAAAAAAAGCAAGCCCTTTCTACTCCAGAGATCCCCAACTGCTCATCTCTACTCATAGCCACCAAGTCTGGATCCCCTGGACAGGGTTCAAAAGTGAGGGAAGAAGAGGAGAATGGGAGTAGAGACAAGACAGGAGTGAAAGTGCAGGATTTTACATCAGGAGTCCTACGTTGGGATCCAAGGTGTCTCCTGAGGACTCTCAGAAGGGTTATCCATTCGTGGGTTTTTTGAGGAAACCAAGCATTTTTCTCCCTTCTACATCCCACCAGAAGGGAAAGTGGTTTCAGGTCATGAAGTATCAATGGCTGATAGATTTTAATAAAGAACACTGAGGGGCAGCTAGGTGGTACAGTGGATACAGTATGGGCCCTAGACTCTGGGGGACATGAGTTCAAATCTGGCCTCAGACACATAATACTTATTAGCCGTGTGACCATGGGCAAGTCACTTAACCCCACTGCCTAACAACAACAACAACAAAAAGAACACTGAAGGGTCACTACGTTAAAAAATATTATATACACATATATATGCATACATACATATTGTGTGTATGTGTATATACATATATATATATACACACACATAAAATACAAACACACAGTATTATATATTATATATTTATACATATATGTGTATACATATACATATACACATACACATAAAAATATAAACACACTGTATATATGTTATATTATGTTATGTTATGCTATGTTATCTTATATCATATCATATCATATCATATCATATCATATCGTATCATATCATATTATATTATATGTTTACATAGTTATACACAGATATATGTGTATCTGCATGTATGTATATACATATACATACCTGTGTGTGTATGTTTGTGTGTGTGTGTGTGTGTGTGTGTGTGTGTATAGTGGAAGAAATACCATGATGCCCAAAGTAGTGAGCTATTATGTCTCCAGAATAAAAAGAGGCAGGAGGGAAGATGGGAAACATCCTGGAAATTCCTATATGTTTATGTATTTATATGTGTGGAAATTAAGATAGCAGGTTTCACACAGCGTTTTAAGGTTTTGTCTCATGAAGTAAGTACTACAAGCATTATAATCCCTTATTTACGCTATTATTATTACTATTGTACAAAAAGCTGAAACCGAGGATTAAACAGGGTGAAGTAGTTTTCCCATGACAAAGATGAAAGAGCTGCAGACCCAGCATGTTTGGGTATCTGTGTCTGGAATCAAGATGAATCTTTTCTCTCCCTTCTCTCCCCAAACAAATGCTTTCCACCTTTTCTTCCCCATGACTATAACCCACAGGATATGATTCACCAAAGAACGTCAGGTACTGCCTTCCTCTGCCTTCCCTCTTCCTGGGCCTCCAGGAAAGAGGCAAAGCCTTGAGAGGAGCTCCGAGGCAATGTCGCAGGTATTGGGTCACAGAGGAGTGGAAGTAAAACCAGCCCTAGGTAGCATTCTTCCCTATAGGAGCTCACCCAAGGGCATTCTGTCCCCTCTTGATCCTTTCTGACACCAGATGCCTCCCTCTAAACAACCAAGTATTGTCCTGCACCCAACTGAAAAAAAAAATGGCTGACCTTGCCCCCAAGGACACCGTGTCTTCTCCTTTGACAGGGTAGTTATGCCCTATAGTCCATCTGAGATCCTCAACCCCAACAGGACCTCAGGAAATCATGTGTTCTAGCCCCCTTCCTGTTTTAATAATAATAACAACCACATTTCCACAGCACTTTAAGTTTTGCAAATCAATTTACAATTATCTCATTTTATTATTACAACAATCCTGAGAAGGAGGTGCTGTTGTCCCCATTTGATAGATAAGGAAACTGAGGCAGAGCTTAAGTGACTTGCCTAGGATCACACAGTTAGTAACTGTCTGAGGCTAGATATGAACTCAGATATATCCAGACTCCAGGTCCAGTGCTCTATGCACTGTGTTACGTAGCTCCCTTTTTACATAGGCGGCTCCCAGGCCCAGAGAAGTTACATAACTTTTAAATTATAAAACAAATAGCACCCCAGGAGAGAGAGAGAGGCCCCTTCATTTCAGATCCCTCCTTGGAGGCAGAGTTTTCATTTTTTCCCTTTAAATCCCCTGCACTTACCATAAATAAGTGATTAATTAATTAATGCCAACTAGCATTTATACAGCATTTTAAAATCGTAAAACACTTTACAAATATTTTCTTTTATCCTCACAATAAATATTTGTTGAATGAACCAATGTATAAGTGAAGGAGTCTCCACCCCTACCCCATACCTGCTCCCCTTTCTACAGTGCTGGAGCTCCCTGGAGGATATAGTATACTCATAGCCATTCCAGGGCTTGGTAGGTTTCCACTGAGTTGTAAGTACCCTGAAAACAGAGGTTGTGTCTTTTATGTGTTCTCTGCAAACTTTGAAGCAATATGTAAAATAAAACAAATTCAAAAGAAAAAAGTTATATATAACACAGAATAAAAAAATAAAAATAATACTTGGGATCACAGAAGAGCAGAATGGGAAGGGACCTTGGAAATCATCTAGTCCAATCTCCTCATTTTACAGAAGAGGAAACTGAGGTCCAGAGATGGGAAGACACTTGTGCAAGTTCACCCAAACACTAAGTATCAGAGCTAGGATTTGAACCTAGGACGTCTTATTCTGAATCCAGGGCTCTTCAGTACCCACCATTGCTCACCAGTGCTTTGTTGATAGACCAGGTAAGCAGATTTCAAGTCAACCTCTACTCAGACTATCTTGACCTCACCTATCACAGCAGCTGCCACTGCCAACCAACTGACTTTTAGTAAGACATCCCTATGTTAGCAAAAACTAAGGTGAGCAGATATACTGCATTTGGCAAGATAGTTTGAGAAATCAAGGTCTTGTCTTTTCTGATATGCCCTCCAAAATGTGTCAAAGATTCATTTTTTTTAAATCCCTCCTTCTGCACTGACCCATACTTCTCTTCTTTTGTCCATCTTGTTCTCTCGCCTAAATGCTCAGAGAGAATCTCATCTACTTACTAAACTTTCAGCTCTCAAATCATTTAAAATGCTCAGAGAGAATCTCACCATTGCTAAACCTCTAGCTCTCAAATTGCTTATCTTCTTCATTCCCAGGAATATCAGCTCCAGGAGTTGGCTAGAAAGCAAAACTCTTACTATCCCGGGACTGGGAAGCTCCCAAGTCTTACCTGGTTCATCCACCACATAGAGAATGGACTTCCCACTGGAGTCTTCATAGTACTGGAATCTGACTACACAGTCATCCTCATCCTTATAGGTACAGTTCACTGCATCCTTGCCGATGTCCACTGCGGGGAGATGGAGGAGAAAAAAAAAAAAGATTGTCGGCTCAGAGTGGATGGAGTATTGGGCCTGAAATCAAGAAGACTCATCTTCTTGAGTTCAAATCTGGCCTCAAACACTTGCTAGCTGTGTGACCTTGGGAAAGTCACTTAACCCTTGTTTGCCTCAGTTTCCTCATCTGTAAAATGAGCTGGAGAAGGAAATGGCAAACCACAAGAAAACCCCAAATGGGGTCATGAAGTGTAATACATGGCTGAAACAACTGAACAACAACAAAAGCAACAGTTTTTTTAAAAAAATATATTTATTTAGTATTTTAATCTTTCCCTAATTACATATAAAAACAATTTTTAACATTCGTGTTTAAAATTTTGAGTTCCAAATTATCTCCTTCCCCACCCCCTTCAATGAGAAGGCAAGCAATTTGATACGGGTTACACATGTGTAGTCATGCAAAACATATTTCCATATCAGTCATATTAATAACAACAGTTCTATCTTCTTATTTTATAGAGGAGAAAACCAAAAAGATGAAATTACTTGCCCTAAATTACTTACATAAAGTAAGGAGCAGAGGTGGAATTCAAACCCAGGTTCTCTATCAGCAAATAAAGCTCTTTGTCAACTACCCCTCCCTCCAATCTTGTGCTTTTAGAAGTGATCTTTTTAATACTTCTCAAGTTGCTTCATATATAACTATTTTGTTTTCCCAATGAAACGTGCAAATTCAGTTTTATAGTTAGAAGGGAACTTAGAAACCAATGAGTCCAATTTCCTCTTTTTGCAGGTGAAGAAATTGAGGCACAGAAGAATTAAGTGGTTTGCCACGGGTTTGTTGTTGTACAGTCCTTCGGTCATGTCTGACTCTTTGCAACCCCATAGACTTGTCCATGGGGTTTTCTTGGCAAAGATACTGGAGTGGTTTGCCATTTCCTTCTTTGGTATGTCCCCATTTTACAGTTGAGGAACTAAGGCAAACAGGAGTTAAGTGACTTGCCTGGGGTCACACAGCTAGTGAATGTCTAAGGCCACATTTGAACTCAAGTCTTCCTGATTCCAAGCTCAGTGCTTTACCTATTATACCACCTAGTTGCCCCATATCCAGAATAGATAGGTGGCAGTTCAAGAGAGGAAGGCATTAGTTATTGGGTAACTGGAAAATGCCTCTGGGTCTTAAAGGAAGCCAGAGAAACTAAGAGGCAGATGGGAGAGGGAAGGGCACTGTGGGTATGGGGGACAGCCAGTGTCATGCAAAAGCATGGAAACTAAGGTGGCTTCACATTCAAAGTATTGCAAGCAGACCAGTACTGCTGGATTGTAGAATGGCTGGAGTGGAGAAAATTCAAAGAAGAGAGAAGGGAGTCAATTTGTGAAGAGTTGTAAACGCCCAATGAAGTGACATGGTTAGACTAATACATTAGAAAAATTACCTTGGTGCCTCTGGCAAGGAGAGATTTGGGTTTAAATTATGTCTCTGATATTTAGCAGCTTGTTGAACAATCGCAACCTTTTGAATCTCAGATCCATTAGCCACATAGTCATGGATTACATAGCTATTAAGAGCTATTGAGTGCAGGGGTATGGGGGAGGCAGAGCCAAGATGGTGAAGAGAAGCCAGGAAGCTGTCTGAGCTTTTCCCAGTTTCCCTTGGAAATAACATTAAATCAAGCCTCTAAAAGAATTCTAGAGTGACAGAATCCACAAAAAGGCAGAGTGAAACAATTTTCCAGCTCAAGATAACTTAGAAGGACTTCAGGAAAGATCTGTCTCATTTGGATAAAGGGTGAATGGAGCCCAATGCAGCCAATGTCCTGGCAAGCCAGCGGGAGGTTCTTAGCTACAGCAGAGATTAGCAATCAAAGCCCCGTGGTCTAGGCTTAGCAGGCCAGTGACACAGCACAACAGGCAAATTGCCAGCCCTGGAACCCAGGGCACAACATGTATGACTAGGCTGGGCCACCCTAGTGCAGTAGGCAAGACACCTGCCCCAGAAGCCCCAGTAGAGAAAGTGAGTGGCCAGGTGCCTGGCCCCCCGTGCAAGAAGCTTGGGACAGTGACCCCTGTGCCCCACAAGCTGAGTTCAACTTTTTAAAAAATGAGTGAAAAAGGGGTCAGCTAGGTGGCACAGTGGATAGAGCACCAGCCTTGAAGTCAGGAGGACCTGAGTTCAAATCCAGCCTCAGATCAAACACTTGACACTTACTAGCTGTGTGACCCTGAGCAAGTCACTTAACTCCAACTGCCTTTTAAAAAATGAGCAAAAACCAAAAAAGAGCCCTGACCATAGAAAGCTACTATGGCGACAGGAAAGATCAAAACACAAACTCAGAAGAGGACAACAAAGTCACAATGCCTACATGTGAAACCTCAAAGGGGAATATGAGTTGGTCTCAAGCCCAAAAAGTCCTCTTGGGAGAACTCAAAAAGGATTTTAAAAATCAAGTAAAAGAGGTAGAAGAAAAATTGGGCAAAGAAATGAGAGTTATGCAAAAGAATTTTGAAAACGAAATCAACAGCTTGGAAAAGGAAGCACAAAAATTGACTGAAGAAAACAACTCCTTAAAAAATAAAATTGGCTAAATGAAAAAAAAAATCCACTAAAGACAACTCCTTCAAAAGCAAAATTGGCCAAATGGAAAAGGAGGTACAAAAACTAACTGAGGAAAATAATTCCTTAAAAATTAGAATTGAGGGTGCAGCTAGGTGGCACAGTGGATAGAGCACCGGCCCTGGAGTCAGGAGGACTTGAGTTTAAATTTGGCCTCAGACACACAACATGCACTAGCTGTGTGACTCTGGGCAAGTCACTTAACCCCAACTGCCTCACCCAAAAGAAAAAAAAATTAGAATTGGGCAAGTGGAAGGTAATGACTTTATGAGACATCAAGAATCAGTCAAACAAAATCAAAAGAATGAAAAAAAAAGTAGAAGAAAATGTAAAATATCTCATTGGAAAAACAACTGACCCAGAAAATAAATCCAGGAAAGATAATTTAAGAATTATAGAAACAACCTGAGAGCCATGATCAAAAAAAAAAAAAAGCTGTACAGCACCTTTCAAGAAATTATCAAGGTAAACTTCCCTGATAAACTAGAACCAGAGGGTAAAATAGTCACTGAAAGAATCCACTGACCACCTCTTGAAAGAGATCCCAAAATGAAAACTTCAAGGAATGCTGTAGCCAAATTCCAGAACTATCAGGTCAAGGAGAAAACATGCAAGCAGCCAGAAAGAAACAATTCCAACATCAAGAAGCCACAGTCAGGATTACACAGGACTTAGAAGCTTCTATATTAAAGGACTGGAGGGCTTGAAATATGATATTCCAGAAGGCAAAAGAGCTTGGATTACAACTAGGAATCAATTATCCAGCGAAATTGAGCATAATCTTTCAGGAGAAAACATGGATATTCAGTGAAATAAAGTATTTTCAAATTTCCTGATGAAAAGGCCAGAGCTGAACAGAAACAGCTGTACGAGATCTAAAACTATATTATAAAGCAAAAATCATCAAAACTAATTGGTACTGTCGAAGAAATAGAGTGGTGGATCAGTGGAATAGATTAGGTACACAAGACACAGTAATCCGTGATTATAGTAATCTATTGTTTGATAAACCCAAATATTCTAGCTTCTGGAATAAGAACTCACTATTTGACAAAAACTGCCGGGGAAACTGGAAAATAATATGGCAGAAACTAAGCATAGACCAATATCTCATACCATATACCAAGATAATGTCAAAATGGGTACGTAATTCAGACATAAGGGATGATACCATAAGCAAATGAGGAGAGCAAGAAATAGTTTATCTGTCAGATTTACCTGTCAGAAGGGAAGAATTTGTGACCAAACAAGAGAAAGAGGACATTATGAAATGCAAAATGGATAATTTTGATTACATCAAATTAAAAAGATTTTGCCCAAACAAAGCCAAGGCAATCAAGATTAGAAGGAAAGTAGAAAGATGAGAAACAAAATAGCAAATATTTCTGATAAAGGTCCCATTTCTCAAATATATGGAAAACTGAGTCAAATTTATAAGAATACAAGTCATTCTCCAGTTGATAAATGGTCAAAGGATATGAGCAGGCAGTTTTCAGATGAACAAATTAAAGCTATCTATAGTAGTATAAAAATGCTCTAAATCACTATTGATTAGACAAATGCAAATTAAAAAAAAACTCTGAGGTACCCCCTCATACCTATGAGATTGGCTAATATGACAGAAAAGGAAAATGCTAAATGTTGGAGAAGATGTAAGAAAATTGGGGCACTAATGCATTGTTGGTGGAGTGGTGAACTGATCTAACCACACTGGAGATCAATTTGGAACTATGTCCAAAGGGCAATCAAACTGTGCATACCCTTTCATCCAGCAATACCACTACTAGGTCTGTATCCCAAAGAGATATAAAAAAGTGAAAAGGACCAACACGTACAAAAATATTTATAGCAGCTCTTTTTGTGGGAGCGAAGAATTGGAAACTGAGTGAATGCCTATCAATTGGAGAATGGCTAAACATGTTGCAGCATATGAATGTAATGGAATACTATTGTGCCATAAGAAATGATGACCAGATATCTGGAGAATAAAATTAAGGGATGAGAGAGGATGATACTTGGAGAAGAAAGGGAGAGGTAGAATGGGGTAAATTATCTCACAAAAAAAAACAGAAAAGAAAAGTCTCTCACAGTGGAGGGGAAACAGGGGAAGGTGAGAGGGAATGAGGGAATCTTATTCTCATAGGATTTGGCTTAAGGAGAGAATAACATACACATTCAATTGGATATGGAAATCTGTCTTACCCTACAGGAAAATAGGGGGAGAAGGGGACAAGAGAGCAGGGGGATGATGGAGAGGAGGGCAGACTGGGAAAGAGGGTAATCAGAAGCAAATACTTCTGAGGAGGGACAGGGTCAAAAGAAAGAATAGAATAAATGGGAGGGCAGGATAGGATTAAGGGAAATAGAGTTAGTTTTTCACAACATGTCTACTATGGA